CTTATTTATTTACTCACTTCCTTACGATTGGAGGGTATGCCCTGTTCTTCTAAATCTGCTTTCCATACTTATTCCACGTGGATTTTTTGTTGGCGTTCGGTTCTGGATATAATTGATCTATTTTCACTGACATTAAGTCATTTTCAGAGGCATTGTATTCGTAAGCATATGCTCTAAACTCAAATGTTGTCCATGTTGTTGCGTAATGAGAATGTATGCTCAAGTGTAAACAGTAATGGGATTTTATATTCTCTTCATGGTGATGATTTAGGATCCTTCTCCCTTCTATTTCTTCCTGTAGTATCCTCAAATGAACTGCATAATAATATTTCTTCCTGTAGTATCCTCAAATGAACTGCATAATAATTTGATCATCAAATTCTTAGGTGTATTTAGCTTCAGTTTCCAAGAATAGCGAATGACTGAGCAGCAGAATTTTATATATTATTTGCAGAGACTAAAACTCAGCTTGACAGTTCTGTAGGTAATTAGTAGTTTACTGTTATCATTGTAATACCAGCTTTATTTTGTCGGAAAAAAAAATTGATTTTGTTTTGGTGGCCTTGCTTGCTGTAGAATATATGGTTTGAAACAAAAGTGTTTGCAGATTCGTAGGAAATCAATGAGCAAATGGATAGGAGAAAAAAGAGAACTGTGACAGAGAATGGTGATGCTGGGTTAGGGGAGGACTTGGTTCTAGCAACTCTGATTGGAAATGGGGAAGATCTTGGTCCTCTTGTCAGGCACGCCTTTGAAATGGGGCGTCCTGAAGGGCTTCTTCACCAGCTGAAACATGTAGTGAAGAAGAAGGAGGCTGAAATAGAAGAGATGTGTAAGACACACTATGAGGACTTCATTGTTGCAGTGGATGAGCTTCGAGGTGTGTTGGTTGATGCCGAAGAGCTCAAGAGTGAGCTTCAAAGTGATAATTTTAAGTTACAACAGGTTGGAAGTAGCATTCTTGTGAGCCTTGAGGATCTTCTTGAATCTTATTTCATCAAGCAGAATGTGATTGAAGCTATAAAGATGTCAAAGTATTGTATTCAAGTGTTAGAGCTTTGTGTCAAGTGTAACAATCACATATCCAATGGCGAATTTTATCCTGCATTGAAGACAGTGGATTTGCTTGAGAAGAATTACTTGCAAAATATTCCAGCAAAGACACTGAAAAAGGTGGTAGAGCAGAGAATTCCTGCGATAAAATCCCACGTTGAGAAGAAAGTATGCAGCCAAGTTAATGAGTGGTTGGTACATTTGAGGAGCTCTGCTAAAACTATTGGACAGACAGTGATTAGTCATGCTGCATCAGTTCGCCAGAAGGATGAAGAAATGCTAGAAAGACAAAGAAAGGCTGAGGAGAATTGTGGGTCAGAGGATCAAATTTATAGCTTGGAAGTTGAGGAAGCTGGTGAGGATTCTGTTGTCAAGTTTGATCTCACGCCTATTTATCGTGCTTGTCATATACAAGATTGTCTAGGCCTTAGAGAGCAGTTTCGTGAATACTACTATAAGAATAGGTTGTTGCAATTGAATTCAGACTTGGAACTATCTTCAGCACAACCTTTTGTTGAATCACACCAGGCATATTTGGCTCAAATTGTAGGATATTTCATGGTTGAGGACAGAGTTCTGAGAACAGCAGGTGGACTCTTGGTACCTGATCAGGTTGAAACAATGTGGGAGACTGCTTCGGCAAAAATCACATCGGTTTTGGAGAAACAGTTCTCAATTATGCGTTCTGCTACACATCTTCTCTTGGTGAAGGATTATGTGACACTCATGGTATCCACTCTCAGACAGTATGGATATGAAGTTGGTCCTCTTCTCGAGGTTCTTGATCGAGGTTCTTGATAGTATTGCAACAAATATCATGGGATTCTTCTGGACGAATGTCGAAAGCAATTCTTGATCTTCCTTCCTTGCCAACGACTCATATGATCAATGGTTATAAAGAAACAAGTGACTATGAGAACAATGTTCTGTCGTTTAATCTTCAAACCACAGATATCATGCCAGCATTTCCTTATGTTGCTCCTTTCTCCTCCATGGTTCCTGAAATGTGTCGAATCGTGAGATCCTACATTAAAGGCCTGTTGATTACTTATCTTATGTATAAATGCCAACTTATTGATGCTGCTAGGAAATACTTGACAAGTTTTTGATTGATGTATTGAATGAAATATTGCTTGATACTATTAACAGTGGCAACATCAGTGTATCTCAAGCAATGCAGATCGCTGCAAACATAGCTGCTCTAGAAAGGGCTTGTGATTTCTTCCTCAGGACGTGGCACATCTATGTGGAATCCCAATTCGCAGTTTTGAAGCCTCAAGTTGCTTTAACTGCAAAAGTGGTGCTCAAGACATCAAGGGATGGGGCCAGCTTATCTTGCTCTATTGAGTCTGGTCATCTCAAAGATAGATGAATATATGGCTTTAATAGAGAAAATAAATTGGACTTCAGAAGAGATAAAGCAGAATGGGAATGACTATGTGAATGAAGTGATCTTTTATCTTGACTCTCTTATGTCCACAGCACAACAAATGTTACCATTGGATGCTATGTACAAAGTTGGGAGTGAAGCACTTGAGCACATTTCTAACTCTATTGTGGCTGCATTTCTCAGTGATAGTGTCAAGAGATTCAATGAAACTGCAGTAATAAGCATCAACAATGATGTTAAAATGTTAGAGGCTTTTGCAGATGAGAGATTTCATGCTTCTGGGCTGAGTGAGATTTACAAGGATGGGAGTTTCAAGGGATGTTTGTTAGAAGCAAGACAATTGTTAAATCTTTTGCTGAGTAGCCAACCTGAAAACTTCATGAATCCTGTGATAAGGGAGAAAATTACTATGCCTTGGATTACAAGAGGGTGTCTATTATCTGTGACAAGTTTAGGGATTCTCCTGATGGCATATTCGGAAGCCTTTCGAATAAAACACAAAAACAAGCGCCAGAAAGAGATCCATGGACACGCTTAAGAAGAGACTCAAGGATTACAATTGATGATACTAGACTTGGTGAAAAATTCTTTTATTTAAAACTATAGTATAATGCTTATAGCGTACTACTTCCCTTATAGATCTTGTAATGATTAGCATTCCTTTATTTTGCATATGAATGCATGTTTGGTTACACGGAAATGCATTATTCATTTCTTTCCTAGAGAATATTTTTTTACCTTCTAAACATCACATAAATGTTTATAACTGCCTGGAATAAGAATTTGTGCTTTGTGCTGGAATTTGTTGATTGATCATTGATACTTACCCTGTGTAAGTGTACTTGTGTGAATATAATTTAGAGCATCATAAGGGTTGTTCATTGACTTCTGAATCTAGTGATCCAAAATAAATGTTTGTTCTTGGACATCTCATTTTTAAAACAGTTTCACTCAATGTCTAAATTTTCACTTGAACAATTTTGTTACACATTATAAGGTAATCAAGCCCAATGAAGCATGCTGCTATACTCAGTTTTAAGTGCACTATCACGTTGCATGAAACTTGTTAAATCAAAATTTTATCGTCATTTAGTGATTTATGAATGTGTCAACAATGTTGTGTTTTCTTTATCTTCAGGTAAAATCATCATCAATATAAAATATAAAGCTTATGACAAGTTAAGCCTTTCATAATTTATGAATAACACGATTTATTTTAATATTTGTGTTACAAACAGAAAATCGTGTCTGGGTCTATATTATAATAACTTACTAGTTATTATAAAAGCAAATGAAAATGAGTTTTGGAGGAAACTACTGGTCCCCCAAACAGGTTTTTTTTTTTTTAGAGAGAGACAACGGAAAACATATTTACAGTTTTTATAATTTCATTTAATTTTGAATTAAATCCCTACAGTTTTTTTGTTTTAATTGAGCCATTATAGTTTAATCAATTAAATTTTTTAATCCCTGAAAGTTAAAATCCTTACATTTTTTTCTTTTAAAAAACAAAATTAAGAATTTTTATATTTTTATTAAATGATTATATGATTTTAAACTTAATTATATAATTTTTATAATTCAAAATTTATAAAATTAGGTTGTCTTCTAATTATATTTTATACATGTAAAATTTTCATTAAAAAATTATAATTAAAAATAGAAACAGAAATTAAATCAAATTTTCTTTTTTCGAGTTTGGTTAAAAATATTAAATTATATTTTCTACAAACTCCAAGAGTATTTTTCTTTTGTAAAATTTAATAATTCATTGTTTGTAAAATTTAATAATTCATTGTTAAGTTTAACCTTGCAACATACATAATAAATGAAACTATAAGAATTTGATTAAAACAATAAATTACAGAAACTTAATTCAAAATAAAATAAAATTATAAAGATCTGTAAATATATTTTTTCTAGAAACAATAACTGACTTGGGTGGACCGAAAACAGAATTAGTAATATTGTGACGAATAATAATTGATTTGGGTGGATCGAAAACGGAAGTAGTTGGGAAGCAACTTTGAACAATGAGAAATTTGATCCCATTTTTTTTCCTCCGACCACATCTGGAATCCTATGCCCTCTTTGAATAGTGCATGTATAGCTCTAAGCATTTTCTTTTCTTTTTTACGCTCCTTGAAATATCAAATTGCTTAAACGAAGAAAAAAAATATCAAACTACTTTAATTATTTCTCTTATGAAAATATCTTTATTTCCAAAATTATGTGTTTATTTCACCATTTCTATCCCCTTATTGGTGTTATATGTTAGAGATGATCGTTTTCTAAAATTTGGAACTAAACACGAATTGTTGAAGATTTGACAGTGATGCTTCATATTTGTTATGCTATAATAATAAGTCAATGCATAAATATTTAATTGTAGAGTTACAGCTATAATATTCAATAATAAAATCGTAAATTTTTTTGTCACAAAACTTTCAAATTTTTTCGTAGCGAAGTACAAAATCGCAAAAAAAAAAAACTAAATATTAAAAATTAAAGCTATTCAAAAAGGGAAATCTAACAATCAATATAATTAAAACTTTAAAGGGAAAAAAGTTCTACAAGTGCATATACAACTCATCCGATCCCACTGGAACAATTTCCTAGAAATTTGTTTTGCCAAAAAAAAGAAAAAGCTTGTATATTAATTGTATGCAACTTGGGTTTTAATATGGGCAAGAACTTATTCTTCTATAAGTTCGTTTGTCTTTAGACTCTAGTAGTAATCGACCTTGTTGGTATTGGTTGTACCATTACAAGGTTGAACAAATTCCTTATACATTGTCGGCGGTGGTTTGTATGGCGGTGACACACATCTCAACAGAGCCCAGTTGACTCCATTGAAATAAGGATGGTGTTTTATGGCTGTGGCTCCCATTGTGGACCCCAAACGCTTTGTGGGGTCCTTCAGCAAGAGTTTTGCGATTAAGTCCTTGATTGGTTCAGCAATTATGGGCTCTTTAGGAAAGTCAAGAGCTCGAGCCACTATGTTAGCCAATGTTAGCTCGTGGTCAGGCCCTTTGAAGGGTGTGATCCCGTAGAGCATCTCATACATGAACACTCCCAGTGTCCACCAGTCAACGGCATTGCCGTGGCCCTCGCCAGAGACTATTTCCGGTGCCAAGTATTCGTGGGTCCCAACAAAAGACATGGACCGAATTTCTATTGGTTCGGCTATGATCTCGAGGGACCCACAACGAGTGGACCTCTTGTTCTTGCGCTTGCGTTTGGGGTGGAGGCAGGAGACAGCTGGCACAATGCAGTTGGGTAGAATGCATGATGACATGGCGGAGGAGGATTGGTCTGTGGGATTTATGTTTGGACTCGAAGGTTCGTGATCTACTACGATCTGGACCGTTGACGAGGATGAGTCGTGGCTTTTTAGAGAGAGATCAAAATCTGTGAGCATTATATGACCGTCCGATCTTATAAGTACATTTTCAGGCTTCAAGTCACGGTAGACTATTCCCATCATGTGCAGGTACTCCAACGCAATAACTACTTCTGATGCATAGAATCTATATCACCCATGGCAAATAAAACCAAATATTTAGCGAGATATTATTATTTATTTATTTTATTATTATTATTAATATAAATACATATGTAAGATAAAAAAATTGATTATCACATAAAAGCTTAAAACTTCGTGTCTATTATAGACAAGATATACCTATGTATATATGGGTAACCATTTATGAAATTAATTTTTAATTTGTCTCTGAATTTATATCCCTGTTTTCTTAATTCAATGTGTTAAATAAAATCATCGTTGATATTATCTTCATAAAGAATTATTTCGAAAAATACAATGACAAATAAAATGTTTCTAGTGAATTAGTTCATCCCCATTAGGCCATTACACAATGTGTAAATTGGCTATTAGCTTCTATGGTTAAAGGTGGATATCAAGAACAGTCGAAAAAGAGACTACTAATTAACTTTATTAATAAAAAGATGCTAATAATCATGATTGTATTAATAAATAATTTTTTCCAACTTTATATATAAATGGTTAAACATATTATCAAAAAATGATTAAAAGTATTAATATGTAAAAAATATAAATTAAGAAGACAATCTTAAGAGACTAAACCGAGAGATGTTTCATTCATTAAAAAAAAAAAAATACAATCGAATTGACAAAGGAAAATTCCATCTCACCGAATTATATAAAAATACATCCAAGTTGTGACAAATAAATAATTTGTTTTAAAGCCTATATATAAAATCTAAGTTTAGTATATTCTAATAAATAATTGTAAATAACTAAACATTAAAAAATCATGACAAGGAAAGAAAGAAGAAGAGGATAAGAAATAATTATCATCATAGTCTCATTGCCACCTTTCTTTCCAATAACTGAATCATACGGGGTCCATTTAATTATTTTCAATTATTCTTGTAGATAAAATTTTGACCAACTATTATTATAGATAATTGGGTTAGAAAAAGATGTAGTAGTCAATGGGCAACAAATTAATTCATAGCAGATAGTAAAATTTGGCATGATTATTTCAAACATAAGCCTGCGTATCAAATAAAAATCTAAATATAAATAACTAAATAAACTGAAAATATTTTCGATCAATCCCTCAGTCCCCACCGAGAATGAAAATAAGATGGAGGCACCCAGGAAAAAAAAAGTCATGTTAAAAAGCGGTCAATGTCCAGTAAAAAGGTAGTGATTGGTATTATCATGTGTTAAAAAAGTACGAAGAAATAAACGAGCTAGCAAGTTTTCAAAATAAATTACATATACACAAACAACTTTAACGAATCAAGTGACCTAAAGGGTTTTTATTTTAATTTTGCCAAATTTGTTTCAATTTTTTTTTTTTTTTGTGTGGTATAACTTAGAAGTGGTTTTGAATTATTAAGAGGGGCACGAGAGACATAATAAAATGATTGTGGGGTCTTAATCAAAGTCACTCGATAGAAGAGAAAGACATGGGATTAAATTACATGGCCCCATATGCAACAAAAATAATGAATAACCAATTCAAAATCCGAATATTATAAAGAATAACCTTGACGTATCAATAGTCGTAGATTTCTCTGTTTTATCAATAAATTAGGAAATACCAACTGAATTTCCTTTGTGGCGCTACATGTTAGGATGTTTAATTATCTATACTCTCAGAAGCACCCTCAAGTTTATTAAATATTAAAATTAAACCATTATCATGCATGTGTATTCTCATAATTATCTATATATTCTTAATTATAACCACAACGCATACAGACATGGTCGTCAAGTTGATCAATAGAGTACACTGCCAATGACCCCAATTTTAAATTTTAACTGGATTGCATTAATTATTAAAAAAAAAAGATGAAAGAGGATTTCAAGAAAAAAAATAAAAAATTTCACTCATCCTAATAAATATACAACAACATTAGAGAGATTTAGATTATAATAAGAGTAAAAATAGGTCAAACCCTATCACACAACTTATAGTCTAGTTGTTTAGCTAAACTTCTTTAGTTAAATAAGTTGTTTGGTTAAATAGGCCAGACTTTTTTTTTTAGACCGAGCCTATTTAAACCTTTTTATTTAGTTATGTATATATAATAGTTTATTTATATTAAATATATTTAATTTATGCTGTTATTGATATTTTCTTGGTTGAATGATTGAACTTTGTTGATAATTTAAGTAAATTTAAAATCTAGTAAAGGCAATTCAAAGCCTATTTCTTGAGCTTTTTTAAAGGTCTACTTAGCCTTTAAAAATAATTTAGACTCAATTAGGTTTATAACAAGTTCAAGTTTGAACCTAAAAAATAAAAAGCTTATATATAGGTTCAGGTCTTAAGCTTTTGCTATAAATTTAATTTTATTTAAGTAAAACCCAGCCTAACTTAACCTGTTCCCGTTCTTAATTATAGATATTGATTTGGGAAAATATATTATGAAAAATTAATTACTTGATCATATAATTTTCACTCAATTAAAACTTAATTTCTGAACTTTAATTTAGTACAATTCAATCATATAGTTTTGACTTAGATTAAAAAGATTAAAACTTAGTAACTAAATTTTAACTTGGTGACTAAATTTCTATAATTTTATTGATTTAAAATGTTCATCTTTATATTTTATAAAATAAAATTATAAATAATAAAGATGTTATTAAAGCTTACTACTAATGTTTTATAAATTGCTAAAATTATAATGAGTTAAAGTTTCTACTATTAAGTGAGTGAATTTAATTGAGTAAAAAATACGGTGATCAAATGCTGATCCTAGTTATTTATTTATAATTGAATTATAGAAATATATGCATGTTAGTTTTTTTTGACAGAGAAACCGTGACAAAAACAAAAAGCAGAAAAGAAATAAAAACTAGAAAATCATGGCACGAATCATGAATAAATAAAAGCAGTAATAATAAATAAAAAGGAGAGCATGTCATGCAGAAAAAGGTAGGAAGTTGACACACCGTACGGCATCTTCGTGGAAGCGCTGAAGGGGTTGGCGTTGGCGGAGAACGTGGAGATCACCGCCGGGACAGAATTCCGTCAGCAAGCAGGACCACCGTGAGGACTCGATGATGGCGTAAAGCGTCGGCAAGAACGGGTGGTCCAACATTTCCAGTATTTCCCTTTCTGTCCGGGCCCGCCCTTCCTTCTGCCGACTTGCCAGCTCCTCCTTGTCCATCACCTTCGCAGCAAACACGCACTCTCCTTCCGGTAATCCCTTCACCTTAGCCACGTACACGCTCCCGATGTCGCCGCTCCCCACGCGCCGAACAAACTGGATGTCGCCCATGCTCAATGTTGTCGTCGGCTTGAAACCGACCCGATGGATCGAGTCTGACGCTACTGCATATAGTTTGGTTGATGGCGAATGCGTATTTTCTACGGTTTCGTTAGCGGCAACATTGCAACTGAGATTTTCCAAGTCTCCGGCGAGGTCATCAGTCGATGAATCCTTTGCACCGGCACCAGCGGTGGTAGAACTAGAACAGAGATTGTCAGATTCTCCGGAAACTTCGGAGGCGGATGACTGAATTGTGACAGTAGCTTGGGCGTGTTTGCAATTGAGTTTATCGAAGTCGTCTGAGATGTTGGCGCCGGATGATTGATTTCTACCGGCTCTGGCTGTGGCAGAATTGCATCTGAGATTTTCAGCTTCACCAGAGAGTTTGGAGGTAGATGGATGAATTGAGATAGCGGCAGAGGAGTGCTTGCAATTGTGATTGTCGCAGTCGCCAGGGATGTCAGCGGTGGACGACCAATTTGTGACCGTACCGGGGGTGGTAGGATTGCAACTGGGATTGTTGACGTCGCCGGAGAGATCAGCGGCGGGTGGTTGGATTGTGAATGTGGAGGTGGTGTGCTTAGAATTGAGGTTGACGAAGTCGCCGGGCAGTTTGACGGCGGAGGACGGCATTGTGGCGGTGGAGGGGTAGGGAAATTGGGGAAGTCGGAGTATGAGAATGAGAGGGAGAAACTCAGGCAGAGGGGCTTTGAAAAAGGTGGGAGACAAATGGGCCGGCAGTTTAAGGATGGGCCATGTGGCTCGCTTTTATGACACCAGGGCCTAGAAGGGAAGGGGCCCATGGGAAAAAATGTCAATATTATTTTTTTTTGAACGATTTATAATTATTTCTTGTGACTAAAAAAGCATTTATTTCTCGATCTGACACAGACTGATAATGATTAAATCATTAAAAAGAGTAGACAGATTGTTCTATATTTTTTTATCTGTACATTCAATGATGTATATAGAAACACTAATTACAATTAGTGCTTACGTTGATACGAATACAAGTAGAAGTTTGACTCCCTCCCCACAAAAGAAACTTTTTAAGAGGTGAACAACAGAAATAGAATATGTAAAAGTTACCTTATTTTCATCCTATAGTAAAAACAAGAATAAATTAAGAGCCTATTTGAAATTTTGGAAACAGTTTTCTATTATTCAGAATTTTAAAAAAATATGTTTGATAACATGTTTTAAAAAAGTGTTTTGAAAAATAAAAAATAAAATATTATTCTGAAAGATCGAAAAACAAAAATATCTTTTAGGTGTTTTGAAATTATTATTATGAAAAATAAGAGAGTATGAGAAAAACACACATTTTTATTATTTTTTTGTTATCAAAACTATAAAACACCTATTTTCAAAAAAAAAATAAAACAAAAACAATTTCAAACAATTTCAAGTGTCTTTTGATTTTATGTTTTTGTCATTACGACAATACGGCCAACATATTCATTCATCAATTCTTGCTGAAATTTACATTCTCTGCTTGTTTATTTGCAAAAGTGAATCACAATTTTGAAAATCAAACTGAACGGTCCGACTATCACTCGTTGATCAAAACAGTCAAGTTCAACTAATTGGACTAATATAGTAGTTGAATCGTGTTGACCTGGGTTGACTCGATCAATTTTATGAGAATCGAATTTAACCTAAAAATCAGAGTAAGTCAACCTAGTTTAAAGTCAAAAAAATTAAAAGAGAGAAAGAAAGAAAGAAATTTAGGTTAAGTTGCTCAAATTCGCGTTTTCTTTTTTTTAATCTCTAATTATCATCTATCTTTTCATATCTCATCTCTGATCTCTCCTCCACAACTCAAGCTCAATCTTTAACTTTTTCTCCAACCTCTGCCTCGAACTCTAGTGACCAACTTTTAGTATCAAGATCGAAAACTTATGAGTTGTAACCTGATGCCATGTCTCTAGTTCTAACATTTTGCTTTGAAATAGTGAGTTTGTGCCAACATACTTTTACTTCCAGTTCCAACAATCTAAGTGTCTAGCTTTTCACATCAAAATCCCAAACACTATTGATAAATTCATATTTTACTTATATATTCATATATATATATATATATATATAATTTTTATTTAATTTTTATATCACCAACTAATCTAACTAGTTGAACCATAAAAATTGCGATTGGTTGTTCTTTTCAGTTTGACGTACAGTATGAGTTTCAAAACATTAGTGGATTTAACATGAGGCTGCTTCCCCCGCTTCAATATGAATCCCGGCAATTATGCATCGGGTTTCAAAGGCATTGCCTACTTATTGATAGTAAAATAAAATAGAGTTAATTCCTTTAATATCTTTTTGTAGTTTGATTGAATTATGCCTATGTATTCTTCTAATATTCAACCTGAAAAATAACAATATATACACGTAAATAACCTTACCAATTGAACGTTTGCAAATTTGTAAATCTGGCCGCACATGTCAAATGAATCTTTCATGATTAAATCATACTTGCCACTAAAATAGACTTCAAACATTTATGTCTGTAACCACTAAAATAGAATAAAATTTTAAAACACCAAGTGCAAACTATAGTAATTTGCTTCGAACCAAGTTGTTGCCAGACTTGCAATTATGCAACTTTAATAAAAATCTCTTTTAAATGTCTCTTCAAATCTTGTCATTGGTTGTAGTTTCCTTTAAACAAGTTTGGTAAACTTTCTTTTTCATCCAAAAAGAAAAAATCAATCAGCGATTGCTAATTGTTTTGATTCTCATCTTACATAATAAATGTTTTAAAAGTAAAAATAAAGTGCACAACACAACAAGCTCTAAAACACAATTTTCACAGTGATAACTCAGACATTAGCACTTCAGAACTACAATCTAGCAAGAAAGTTCATACTTTAGCAATGGAAAGAAGAATGCCAAACCCATAAGCATTACGATCTTCAACATGAAATATTCCCCGCGTCGGATGAGATCTCTTCTCAAATTTTGTTTTTCCCGTTATCACAAACTATTCTAACACTGGTGACATTTCCCAGCTATCAGCTTCTTTTTTTATTCCATCATCTGGTATTCTAAAAAACCTTGCTCTCAGCGGAGGAACTGCTTTAAAAGAGCAAATAATGAGGAGTTAACTGTAAAACATTCATTTTTTTTTTAATGAATAGAACTTGATAGCAAACATCTAAAAACTACACTTTCTGTCCACAGGTAAAGAGATATGTGTAACCTTTCGCTAAACTCTGTCCAACTCAGTACTGTGCTTGTCTAACTGGTCTTTTAACTCATTTCTCCACCCCTGAATTAGATTCTCTTGCTTTTTAATCAACTCCGTTTTTCTCTTAAGTTCTTCTTCCATCAAAGCAATCTCCTGCTTAGACAAGATACAATAAAACTTAAGTTTCGATGCCATTGTATAAGGATCTCAATGACTTGCTGAAGTAAGAACAATTTACCCAATGCCTACTTCTGCGCACTTATTGTACCTTTCTAAGCATTTCAGCTTTTGATGGCTGACTCTCACGCAGCAGGCTGATAAAATAAAGTTGAAGCTTCTTGGCAGCCTCCATAAAATCTCTGGCATGCCTCTCTACGTCAACTGAAACGGTTGTCCGAGGAGAAAAGAATCAGTAAGGTTAGATGGTGAGTGCACTATGCTTAAGATGCATTACAAGATGAGCAGAGCTCTATCTTTTTTCTTTTGGCCAGAGGATAAACCACTGTCAAAACATATCATTTTTGTGCCATAGAAACTACACTAGTGCAGTGTCAATGGAGAGCCTTTAAGCTTACTAGTCAATCTAATTTGCAAGAAAAGAAAGTTTAACCAAACCAGGGTGGCAAAATAGCAGGTTAACAGGACAGAATTTTTCTTTTCAATGTGAATTAAAACGGGAGTTTCAATAGCTTCTTGATATTGTCATGTCACACTGCTACCTGATCACTTGGGATAATCTCCAACATTACCAGGAAAAGCCAATAGAAATTAAGCAAATTATACAGGACCCAGCAGGATATCTGGCACAAGTAACAAGGGCCGCGGCAAACCATTCAGTGAGAAATTGTATCCAGCCCATGTGTAGTTGTTCACTGCACAGGGAACATTTAATATGGTGGTAACTTTTGAAACACCCCTATTGCACTATTCGCAATAAAGCCATTATTTAAGATGACATTGCCTTTAGTGAAGCTAAGAGTACAAACATAAACTCTATCAACGAAAACTTATATAATAATCAAGTGTTTAAATGTAAACATGACACATTATCATTTCTCTCAATCTCTTATTAACATTAGCTTAACAAGGTTACCATCTAGCCATGTATTAGAAGTGAGTGAATTTAATTACTTCGCAATCAAATTGATATGGTTATTTTATGTACGGGGCATTTTTTTGCTAACCTGCTAGAAACTCTATTAATTATTGAAGATCAAAGGACTTCAAATTTTTTAAAGTCATTAAGCTAGCTCACTACTTTTTACCTGAAGCGTCAGAATGAAAAATTTCACATAGTTGGGCTGTTACAACGAGTGAAAATGGTACAATCCTGATTACAAGAAGATAATTACTCACTTTGATGTGAAGGGTGGGGGGAGCGGTCTATCGCTTGAAGTTCTCTGGCAGGCAAGCAAGGAAGCAAAGCAGCCTCCAAAGCCATGACACAAGCAACCATATCATCCCTCGAAGGAGGCGAAGAGGGCAGCGGAGGATCAACTGTGTGCTGCGACTCCATTACTTGTCGATCACCCATATACCCTGTGAACCTGAATTTTCAACAAGGAACATGAAAAAGCTGATAAATGACGAGGAAATTTTGTGGAATGTTTTTACAAAAGCTAATCGAAAGATAAAAGGTTTGTGTTATGCAAAAATTTCCGGTAACGACCTAATGAACAAATCAACAGGAAAATGTTGAAATGTCGAAATGCCAACAAAAGGAAGAAGTAGAAATCAATGGAAGTTGAAAAGTAAGAGATGAGAGATTTAACTGTGCGTGAAATCGTCTTCTCCGTTCGTTTCGTTCCTACTTTGTGGATCACTCGCCGCTTAGCCCTTTTCAAAACACAGCGTTTCTTGGCTGATCCTTCGCAGGCCACTCTCCTCTGGTTTCTGTAATCGATTGCTTATAGAAATTTTCAGATTCACCTGTATCGTCGTTCACAAAATCACGGCTGACACCACCGACCCTTGTTTCCGGCGTTTTTTTTCCCCGGGGAAGGGTTTGGGTTTGGGACTCGTGCTCGTGATGGCCTAACTGCGTTTCGATCACCTCCTCATGGCCTTATTCTTTTTCAAACCGCTATTATTTTTCTTTCACCTTTATCATTCTCTTTTCCAGGAAAAGGAAAAAAAATTATCCTTTTTACCAATGCTTCATTTTCTTTAAATAAAATGGAGAATTTAATAAAAATTACCTTAGCTAGGCCAACGACACTCAAATTCAACTTAATTTAAACTGTTTGAGAAGTTGATGACCTTAGTTAGGCCAATGACACTCAAATTTAACTTAGTTTAAACTGTTTGAGAAGTTGATGCCGTAGGTTTCTTTCGTTACAAAACAATAGTTTTGTGAATCATTTTAGCTTTTGAAAATCTAAAAATCTATCATGTTTGCGCATGCTCTCTCACCCTTGTTAATTATAAAAGTAAATCGATATAATTTATATATTTCACGATAATTTTTCTAGTTCAAGTGTAGATCGAATTTCCATGTTTATTATTTCATTTATTCTAATTATTTTAGAGTGATCGTGCATTTATTATGATTGTTCTTCTCTCTTTATATATAGATATACTTTCATGTTCTGAACAGAAGGGAATTGAATTCGATAATTGTATTTAGCATAGGTATTGAGTGTCTGTACCATTTGAGCTATTAAAATTCAAATCAACAATTTATATAAACTCACTCATTCATTAATCTCAAGTGAAGTATGAATTCATAACTATAGATTGGAATTATAACGGTTCAAATGGTATAGGCACTGAATACATATATTAAGTGCAGTCACCGAATCCAAATTTAAATAAAAGAACGTTGTATAATTTAATTTCAAGTGTGCTTATTATTCTCTTTATTTTATGTTTTTTATAGTGATTATCTCTATGATATACTTGTTTCATTGAACATTAAATTAAACCAAGAGATCGATAGCCTAAGGGCATAAAACTAGGATTTAGAAAGAGATCACTGCTTCTTTCGAAAGTTACTCAAATGTGTAGATAAACTCAATAGCTTATATGGAGGAAGAAATGCATGTTATGAATGGTGTAACATTCTACTTTAATTTTTAGAGTTAATTAGAATAAAAAAAATAGAAAGAATGTTTGAAGATAAAGAAATTAATTAAAAGATTTTTTTAGTTTAACATCGAATATAGTTTTATATTAAAATGTGTTTTTTTTAAAAGGGGGTTTAAGGCTGGTTAACTTAAGTGTTAAGTTATATAATAATAATAATAATGAGTAGGAGGGACGGTGGCATAAGGTAAACAAAAAAAAATATATGTTATAATAATAATATTTGAGGAGATGCGGTGGAAAAGGGAGTATATAATGGTCAAATTTTCTTTCCCTTGCTCATTTGTGAGAGAGAGAGAGAGAGAGAGAGAGAGAGAGAGAGAGAGAGAGAGAGAGAGAGAGAGAGAGAGAGAGAGAGAGAGAGAGAGAGAGAGAGAGAGAGAGGACAAGGGATTTGAGGAGATTTTGGGGTAAGATTTAATATTCAAAACTATTCCTATTATCAAAACTCTTTTTATAAATATTTTTCTCCTCATCTAGAGCTTTCTAATGATAGTAAAATTTTTATGAGTGGAGCAAATTCTAAAGTTTAAACTTAGAGTAAGTATTGACTTTTAACAACGGAAATTATTAATTAGTAGAGATAAATTAGTACTTAAATTCTATCGGTTTAGATTTGTTCTATTAATTGATTTGAGAGTTTAAAATTAAGTTTTTAACTAAAAAATTGTGATTTCTAGTGTATAGAATGTCTATATTGATTAAATTATGTTTTTGGGATTTAGATAAGTTAATTTAATTTAATTTTGGGTTTTTATCGAAGGGATTCAAATTGAAAGGATATGATTGTAAATTTGAGAAGTTTAGTTGAATTTTATATTTAATTGATAAATTGCAATATGTATATATATATATATAGTGGTATTCATATCATTCGATGTCGTAGATTAATCTATTATCGTGGTTAAGAAGTTCCCCTACACATCTGAGTTAGTTATAGCTTGGAGAAGAGGTAACATTGGAATATCTTTTCATATATCAAGATACTGATTTTTAGTATCGTGTATATACATATATATATATATATATATTAATACTTGTGTGATCTTATTGTGAAATGTGACATTTGTTTTATGTGATGTAAAAGAGATAATAAGGATGGCTAGTAATATAATTGTTTATTTGGGATTGATGATTAAATATTATGCCGTGTTGTTTGCCTCCACTATGCGCGTAGTGGTTGGCCTTTTTCTTGTAGTTCTCAATGTCTCTGACATTTTGGGACGATGGGCACCTTCTTTTTAAGGAGGGGAGTCTTATTCTGACGGCAATGTACCTTTGACCGGGTATAACCTCAGTTTAGGCTCCAGCTAGCGATAATAAGGGAGTTGGGAGCCATAAGGGTGAGGTTAGAAAATGTATCACAATTGTTCTAATTTGACATTGATTTAGAAATTGTTATAAAATTATGAATATTGCATTTCTTGTTTTATGTATTAATTATCAAATGCATATGTATATCTATGGATATGGTTGTGAACTGATTTCAAGAAGTATGTTGGTATATGTTAGAATAACCAACTGTTATTGAGATTTTTAATCTCACATGTTACTTTTTATCATTTTTAGGTGAGCAGTCAAGTGGAGCTACAGGGAAGGCACCAAAGAAGTGAGCTTAGGCTCCCTTCTCTCGGCTTGGCACATGGTTTTCTGTTTATTTTGTAATTATAATTGCCATGACCTAGGGACCCTTATAAATTTTATTTTGGATAATTGTTATAGGTTACTTGACTATAACTACTTAATCTTTTTGTTTGAGTTGGATAATTTTTAAATACGTCAATCTGGGCCATGGTTTTCTATTGGGCCAAGCCCATTTATTTTGGATTGTACATATTGATGGTATAAGAAAAATATGTGTGTTGAGCAGAATTGATTATATCTATAAACTATTGTTGAACCCTGGACTTGCTGTAAATTATTTATTGGGCCCCATCTGCTTTAAGTCCAGTGGTGATTGTTAATTTTGATATCACTTTGTTTAGACAGGTACATTTTTAAGAAAAATATTTATTTATAAAAATAAAGAGGGGAGGTTTTCTTTTGAAAAAAAATGGCAAAAATTAGGTCTGTTACAAATGGTATTTCCTAAGGTGTTCATAGAACAAGATAGGATCAGGATAGTCTAGTCCTATGTCCTATTCCAGAAAAATGAATAAGATTGAATTTTAGTTCCACATCCCGTCCTGTTTCAAAAGTCATCTTGTCCTATTCAAAGTCAAGACAGGATCGAGATTTAACATCCTAGAGAATTCAATCCCTAATTAGTTGAGTAAATGAAGTTAATCATGTAAATTAGTACGATGTATGGTTATAAAGAGCTAACGGGTGTTACGGGTTGCGATTTTAGCCCTAGAATTGAGTTCGGGGCAAGGTCAAGCCACCTATACATCAAAAAGTGACAAAAACAAAAAGAAATGGCACTATGCCATATGCCGAAGCACATGCATGAGATGTCACGGTATACGAGCCATCAGAACACAATAATCCTCTCTTTATACCACATGCCGTGATGTGTGGTACAAGCATCACGATGCATTATAACAAATCTGCAAAAATAAGAGTGTATCAGATGTGAAAAACAGAGAGGAAACAAAAGAGAAATGAAAGAAAAACAAAAGAGCTCTGCTAGGGCTTACAAAGCTGAAGGGTTAGGAGCAATTTTGAGCTACCAAACATCAATGTAAGGTTCCTAAACTCTTTCCCTCTTTTCCTCTTGTATTTTCTTGAATTTGTAAGTTAGAGTTTGGTTGATAAAGATTATTTTGGCTTATAGAGGCTATGGCTCCGAACCTATTAATTTAAATAGAGTTAATGTGAATTGTTTAGATTATTTAAACCTAGAATTCATAACTCTATCCATTTTTTGGTGGTTAAGAGTTATAAATACATGAAAATCCTTCATAAATGAGGAAGATGGAGTAATGTGAAGCCATCAATGGCTAGTTGAGAGTTCAATGGAGTTAATGGAAGTTAGAAAAAACTAATAAACCCAATAGGTACTTTTATATATGAGGAAATTAAATTTTGAGAGAGTGTTGAAGTGTGAATTAGGTTTTGAAAATTGTCCAACAGAGGTTATTGATAATTGTATTGTGAATAAATGTAGAGTAATCGCAACTTGGCACAATTTAAACTTCGTGAAAGCTTTGAAAGTGGTAAATTGAGGGGTAAACCTTTAACCTCAAAGGTTTGAGATGATCGGAGAAAATGTTTTTTATGCTTTTGTGTGTTAATTGATTTATTGATTTATATGTTATAATCGAAGTGAGTAATTATTAAAAATGCAAATGTGACATAGATTACTTGATAAACAAATACTATATTTTTATGGAGTTCAATGACTTAATTCGTATGAAGTTCAATGCAATCGTGTTTTGTGGAATTCAATGACATGCTTATGTGAGATTCTATGAAATAACACTGTGGAGTTCAATGATATGACATTTATAGAGTTCAGTGATATATTCTTCGTGGAGTTCCATGAACATTTGTGAATGAAGTTCTATGAATGTGTTAAAAAAGAGTTCAATTATGTAATGTGTTATGTGACGAACATGTGATATGTGAGTAGTATGAGAATTTTCAAGCATGTTTGTGAATTGATTTCTTGTAAGCTATGAGAAATTGCATCTTTATACATTACATGATCATGATAGGTGGGAGTTCTCCTAGGAAGAGGAGTAGTAAGTTGAAATTCATGTGGTAAGGCTTCTATCAGAGCTCGATAGTTTGGCTGCATTTATTTAAATTATTGTCTCATTTGTTCGACAAGAGACTATCTCACTTGTTCTATGAGGGTCTCAAATGTAAATAATTTTCTACTTGTTTGACGAAGAAGCCAGCTTAGAGAGAATGAGACCACATAATGTGAGATTTGAGAAAAATCGTGACCCATAAGTAAGTTATGTAACCTTGACCAGATAGTCCCTCACACATGAATGGCTAGGGTACTCTCATCTCATAACAATCCTAGCATGTTACATAAGAA